CATGTAAATGCAGTAGTTTACTATATTAATTGCACCAAGTTAAATGTACCCATATTAGATGTAGCACTGATTTAAATATATTAGTATAAAAGTCATATTTTTAACCAGTGTAGTTAAATTAGTACAAAGGCTGTAGTTAGGTCAACCCTAATTAAATCTTTCCTTGTCCCTGCTTCTCCAGCAAGAGTATTAGATTATGGTTTGTTTAAAGTCCTATTACTAGCAAAGCTGTACGGTTGGGAAGTGATGTAATTCTTTTACTACAGTACTCTTAATTTAGGTTGGGTTTCTTAAAAAGTTGAAGCAACAATATTGAAGCCTTGAACAATTAAATCTTGGATTGCCACAAGGTGGCACTGAAAGCCCACGAGCACTTACACGCTTGTCCATGAAGCCTGGAGGAACGGCATTGTCTCCTGAGATCGCTAATCCTAATATCACAACCTTAGGATATTAGAGCACAAGGGTACAAGCAGAGATTAGCCTCTCATGCCCTATTTGTAGCACACAACAGGTATAATTTAGATATAAAGCATGCAACCATCTGTCACGTTAATACAAAGCAATGCCTGAAATGTAGTCACCTCTCTTGACATCTCAGGGAGAAAGGACACAAGAGCTACGTGAATAATTTAACCATAATGGTCACACCACTAAACCTTTGTAGTTTCACCTTTTGTAACTTACAGTGAATATAGCAACTATAGAGAAAATGCTAGACTCCAATAACATCAGTTTTCTTGGACAATAATAAAATTTAGTCACAACCATTGTATCTAGAACACTCAGGCAATACCCCCTTTCTATACATTATTCTTAAATGTAGAGTCTAAAATCATTACTTATTTTTAAAGAGTCAAGATTTCTTCTAACAGGCTTAAAGGTTGTAGCACTAGTGTCTATGATTGGCTTTATTTCCAGGCATGTAACAAGCTTCCAAATAAAAAGATGGCATGAAACAGTATTAAATGCATATGCTTTCATTTTCAAAACAAGAGGCAAAAACTACACAGTGCACAGTACAACTGACACTTTATTCCTTCGTAATGGGGATATATAGTATTGAAACTGCAAGAGTCACAAAAAAAAAATCAAAGTGCAAACCTCTATTAGAACAGATTATGGAATGTATTAATGGTTTTGGCACAAAAAAGTGGGGAACTATATACTGCAATGAGATTTTAAGTTTAATGAAATGTAACACTTCTGTGCTCAGTAGTCATATTTGTGCACTGCAGAACAATACAATGTAAAACAGTGACTAACACGATTCACATGCAACTCTATACAAGTTACATCACACGTCCAGTTAAAACTTTTCTGAAAATACATGTAAGGTCCAATGATACTTTGTTCACAGTCACTTAACAAATACTATTCTTTAAGCAGTCTTATCTTTTCAGCTTCCTTACTGATAAAAGTAAAAATAGAGAATCTTGAATAGTAAATTATTTTCCCTAAAGGGTTCCACATGAATGTTGTTTTCTGTCAAAGTAATTTGTCTCTGACTTCATTGATACAAGAAGCTGAATGAAATCAGAAGCTCACTTTTCCCATATTTCATCCCCAATTTGCTGTGAACAAACAGCATTCTGTGCACTGACTTTTTGGTTTGAAAACTGGACATAGTGTTGCCTATGAGCTCTGTACCTATCACATGGACATCACCAAAAAAATCAGAGCGTAGCTTCATACAGTGGCATCTATTCAAGACCAAAAAGGAGTATATTAGCATAGAAAAAACAAAAATGCAGAAATGGAAGAATTCAAGTTTATCTTCTAAGGTACAGTACGCATTCACATTTTCATTGCAGAGAGAGACACTGTGTTCACATTCTGGTGAAGAGAGAAACCCAGATATCGCAGCTCTTCCTAAACTCTTAGCAAAGGTAACATCCATGAAAGATCTATAATGCATGTTGTAGCTCTTTCATGTGAACTAAGCTAAACTGATTGCTCAAAGGAAAAAGAACTCGAACCTTTGATGAGTAATTCAAGCCCCATTGCTTAACCATAAGAACTTCTGCACTGGCCTGCTGTGTCATGTAGTCTGACAGTTCCTATCAAGCATTTTATGTGGGCAGCTATTAGTGTTCAGTGTCCCATCTCCTTTTTTGGTTTGGGATTTCATTTTATTATTTATATTAATGAAGGTTGATGATTTATATCAGACATCTGAGAAACATTCTGGTGAGAAGATGTACAGGATGCCCATTAGATGCATATGGATCACAGCAGAAATGTCCTCACAGCTGAATTCTTTGTTTGGGCAACAGAAAAAAATAGCAAACAGCAAGAACAAGAAGCACTTAGCATGACTTTAGTTCTTTGTACCATATTGCAAATGCACAAACTGAAGTGCTCATAATGTTTTTGCTTTATAATGCCATAATAAAGAATAATGCTAAAAGCAGCAGAGAGGCGAGGGCAATCCCACTAACCAGCTTAGAACTTTTAGCATTAGGCTACGATGTAATTTAGGGCGTCTATGTTAGGAGACTATGACACCTACTGACACCAACAGAGAGAGTGCAGGTGTGATTCAGAGCACCTAAATTTTATGCCTGAAGTTAGTTTGAACACAACTTGAAATCACCTTCAGGTCCCTCAGCTGCTCCCTTCCTTGTTCTTTATATCAAAATGCCCTGAAGGCAAGCTCGTCTAAATGGCAATAGGTGAAAGCCCAACCCTTCTGTCAATAGAATGTTTCTCAGCTCCAAGATCCCAGCTCTCCCTCTCCCAAGGGAATTCATTGTCACCTATTCTATTGCTTTCAGGGACACAAGATAATGTCCACCACAAATTTTTCTCTTTTCTGGAGTAATCCTTAAGAATAAGAGTAATTCTTGCCACTATAGCTCCTGCTGACAGTCATCCTTCCAGCTCAAAAGAAGTTGCTCAGATCCAAAGCGGACCCCTCAGTTTATCCTCCCTCCCAGCACCTACTCAAGGAGGGAGAGAGTTTTGGACAGTCCAATGGGTTGGTATATTTTGGAGTGAAGAGGGAGGAGTGCAGAAAAAGAAGACTGAATTAGGAGAACTGAGGCAACAGAAGGCAAAAATCACTTGGGGTTAAAAGAGAAAAGTGCTCATCATGCCATGAACTAGAAATGAGAGTCTGAGGAAGAGAGAGAGAGACAGGTGAAAGGTGAGAGACGGTGGAAGGAAAAAAAAGAAACACAACAAAAAGTTTGAGAGATAAATTGAATAGAAATCCCATGCCCTAATGCTGTCCCAGTGTAGGTGGATTCTCTGGCTCCCCAGCCAGAGGAGGGAAAAGCAACTGAAGGATATGGATGGGGGCCAGGCCCCAGGAGGTGCATGGATGGGTCGGGGAGATTCTCTTCCGGCTTTGTATGACAGCTCCTATGGCTGTACAGGTTTTTAACAGAGTAGAGCTTGCCTCTAGCTCACAGTTAAATACTACAGAGTCACTTTTTGGCACAAAATCTTTGTTTGATGTCAAGCCATTTTAAAATGCAAGATGCTTTATCAGATATTTAAAAAGCACCAAGGGAAGGTGGGAAAAGAGATTCCCCACTGCAATGTTTACATTCCTAGAGCCTGATCAGCTGGGTCAGGCTTAAATGATAGCTCATGGGAATGGAGGAGACAAAGAGGAAACATTAGGAGAACCTTTTGGGACAGCACACAGCCATGAAAACAGCTCTTGCTGTCTGGCTGGCTAAAGACGTCCTTTGGGACACGCTCTGTTTCCACACACATTATATTTGCTCATCATTGCTCTCTCCCTCATGATACCTCATGTCATCACAACATACAGTTTGCCCACAAAGCATCAGATGTATTCTGGTGGCTGCCAGGAGGTTTCCTCCTCATTAGCCACTGAGATGAAGTGAGAGATACACTGAGGAGTACTTACAGATATGAGCACCTGTGTTTCCTCCCTTACGACTGCACAAAAAAGCACGCAGGTTTCCAAAGGATATCCAAGTGTGCACTCGGTTAATACTGTTTGCTTTCCTGCAGACCACATTGACTAAGTCCCCCTGCTCGCTTCCTACTGTACCTTAGCAACACGCCACAAGTGGTTCAGGAAAGGTGGAGGAGATGTCTAGGAAGTTGATAACATGTTCAGACTATTTGTCAGTCTCTGGAGAGTTCCCACTACTGCCTCTGTTTGGGAATTTCTCCATCCTTAGTTTACAAATGATTTAACAAGAAGCATGTGAATACAATGGGGTATGCTTCACTTTACTGTGGTGAAAAAAAGTCTGACTCAGTGGGTAAACATGTTGTGGAATTTGCTACAAAAATTATATTTGTTTTAACTGAATACCACAGTAAATATTCACTCAATTAAAAAATAAAAAGATGGTTATTGTTCCAAGGAAAACTGCCCCAAGGGCAGATAAAGCACAAATGCCAATCTTTCAGGAAAAAACAGCTCCCTTATTCATGAGCATAATCTAGGAACAGCTGTCCTTCAACTCCATCTCTCACCCTTTTCTTTTCAACTTTGCTAGTAAGTGGCCTCCAAAAGAGAAAACAAAAAAGAGAGACAGAAATTTAAAAAAAAAGTAAACAAAGAGAATAAAAAACCCCCATAGTTTAGATTACTTTTGTAGGTTTAACCTTTCCAAAAGCATCAGCCTTTCATTTTTGTGGTCCGACTGCTCCCTGGGATCTGACCTTTTTAAAAACTCCTTCCATTCTCACCAAATTGAAAGTCACGGCATTAAGCAGCAAACTGGGACCTGAACTTGCGGGACATATCTTGTGTGGCTGCACTACTATCTCTTTTTCTGTCATTTGAGTTTCCCAGGCAGACATTGCCCTTGAATGCTCCCATCGGAGGAAGCTTTTTCAGAAGTTGCTACCTGGTGTCTGATTCCAGCCACAACTCTGCCCAGCAGCAGCAACATGATATGGCCGAGACAGTGAGCACAGTCCACTGCCCACTGTTCCAGCTAGTGTGGGGAAAGCTTCGCTACCACACAAGATATGAATTCCATGAGGCCACTGAGTTTTCCCCAGTCCCCCCGATACCTTGCATCACTGTAAGTAAAGAGGACCGAGGAAGGAAAAAAAAGATGCAGGGCAAGGAAGCAAGAGAAAGAAAGACAGGAGAAGGGAGCAGTGTAAAGACAACAGAGGTGCTTGAAATGTTGAGAATTAGTTGGTTTTCCTAAAATTTTCACACAGATATGTTAAATCACTAAAGCTAGGGGTTAGCCATTATAATTGTCTTCTGCTAGCCCATGGGACTAACATACTTTGGAGTTATGTGCCCCCCAACAAACCATACATCCACCTTAAATACCATCTGCAAGGACATAATAAAAATACACAAAGCAAAAAATTTGTAAACAAGGGTTAGTAGCACAGTGGTACAGTAGATTGTCAGTAAAAACAATAAAAGTGTGGATACAGATTCATCTACCTTGTGTGTAACATTATTGCCAGTTACAAGGGAGGGACTCTGTAAACTCATAATTCTGAACTTTTGTTAATAAGCACAGAGCAACAGGTGAGTGCCCCGTCTACTTTCTCCAGTTCTGTGTTGGCTATTGGGATCAGCATGTGGTCCTTCAGTTTTTCAAAAACCTGTTTAGGAAAGAAAATGGAACAGAAATCATTACATTTAACACCTGTTTTCCATTTTGTCTAAGTATTTACAGAATGAACAGGCATGGATTTATCAGCAGGTGCTAAGCTGTCTCGTAATTTGTAATCAACACTAAAATTTACAATATATGTGGCCTTCTGGCTATAGGATTCAGGCACATCAATACCGCAGTGAGGGGAACTGTTGCTAGTTCCAATTATGCAGAAATAGCACCAGGGGAAGAAGAGACAAAGTAATTAAATCAGCAATGGAGAAGAGAACAGAGCCCAGGCCTCCCACCTTTCGCTATATGATATTTCCATGATAGGATACAACAGCCCATTCTAGAAAGCACACGATTTCAATTCCCATCAACTTCCCAGCAAGACTGGGATACCAGGGGCCTCCCAGGCACCCTCAGTGCGGCTCTCACCTTCGCGCTCTCCGGGTACTCCTCGGGGGCTCGGTGCAGCAGGACGTGGCCTTTGCTGGGAATGTTTAAGTAGATGCAGTTTGCTGCAGCATCATCGGGCACTGTCAGCTTGTCGTAGCGGTGGTCGCTCATCTGTTGCATGGTCTGCCAGGAAACACAAAGCGCAGCTATTTAGACCAAACACATTAACAGCCCTAAATAGATGGGAGAACAGAGCCTTCAAAAAAGATCTAATTGCAATTGTCAAGTCAGCCAAGAGCCATTTTGCTATGCAGCAAGTCAGGAGATCTCTTTTCATCTCCAGGATGAAAGCCCTTCAAGAATTTACACACCCTAACCGAAATGAGCAGTAGGAAACCTTTGTGAAACTGTTCCTGCAAGTGGCAAGATTAAGCAGGGCACTCAGTGAGCATCGTCCGTGAGGTCTTTTCCTTCAGGCATGCACGCTGAGTATGCAAAACTCCTGCTTGCATTGATGGAAACTATAGGTGTTCAGCACCTTCTAAAAAAGCAGCCATCATTCAATATTTATAAAATGAGCATGAATCAACACAAAGAGGACAGGAACAGTTCCCAGCTTGGATATCAGCCCAATCTTAATTCTTTCCAAGGACCTCCTTTCTGCTTTCCAAGCCGTCACTCTTTCACTAAGCACCTGTGCTGGGGAACAAGAAGGCACGTCTGCGCTAATCCTCGTTCCCAAGGGGACAAGACAATAACCTCCTCAGAACAGTAGAGCTGGTGGGTTTCAGAGGTTTGGTTTATAAATATAGGGCTCATACAGAAATTTGGATCCTGGCTGGAATTTCAGAGACAGAGGCTCTCAGCACATGGGAAGCCTGAGATCCCATGTTTTGGATCAGGCTCAACTTTTTAATAAAGATGAGAAAAGCTAGAGACAAGCAGCCTGACTCCCCACTGTACTGCTCCAGCTTTACATCAGCTTCATCCTGACAGAGACCAAGAATAACAGGGAAGTGAACAAAGCTCAAAGTCAAAAATTTTGGTCCTATTGAAAGCCTAAGCAAACGTAAGTAATCCAGTTTTCCCTGTTCTCACATGAATTACAAAGATGCAAATAGAAATAAAGGGATTTTTTTTCAGCTTAAAATACTCACACTAATACTATCTTAATAAACTGATATTCTGTTAACAAAATTTTTCTACTAAATTCCCTTCTCAAGGAAACCCCCCAGATTTACACTGCATAGCAGAGAAAGCAGACTGGATGTTAGGCACAGTTAAGTTTATTGTTAAATTATTCACAAGGTCATTCATTTGTACTACTTCTCATTAATTTAAAAAATACTATATAGAACTGAATTATAACAAGGATCTACAACATATTGGGAAACAACAGCAGTTCACACTTGCACACACCTACAGTAATTCCTTTATAGGTCTGGATAAATTTTTAATGTTGTAGCCTGAGTCATCCACATCCCGTGGAGAACATAAAACTTACAACGAAGAATGCCATGCATTCTTGAGGAAGTGTTATCAGATCATCATTTCTTGTTTCTTCTGAAGTTATGAAACTCTCCCAAGTTCCCAAGGTCACATCTACCTCCATAAAAGGTTAATGTGTTTTTCTGGGGAAAAATGCTTGCACGTTTACTCCACCGGATGTATTTTTTTTTACTGTGCTTGCCATGGTTGACTTTCGTATTTGTAATTTTGTTTCCATTATGTTGCTACGATGTATTTTATTAGACTTTCCTTGATCTTGCAGACATCTAGCAGCAGGTGAGATGCTTGCACCAAGGGCCACTCTCCTCCCTGGTAACCAGAGCCAGCAGACTCATCCTCTAGCTGCAGCTTCTCTTTTCTTCCCTACATAATCTTTTTAAATCTGGATTAAGGAAACATTTATTAAATCTGCACTGAGATACACATATCAGTAGAGGAAAAGCCACCAGGCCTGAATTTTGCTCAGCTCAGTTGTGCTTTCTCCAGTCCTTGTTGGAAACAGAATCCCGATATTGTAGGTTTTCTGTAGGAACGACTCATTCATCTGAAATACGTTGTGAATCACTGTGAAACATTTCCATATGAAATTACAAATTAATTCCTAAGTAAAAGGGTACGGACACATCTCCCATTCATTCGCTTCTGCAAAATGCTGAAGTGAGAACAGCAGCAGCAAGCAGAAATGAGCAAGTGGCAGGGCTCTAGCTGTGCCAGCATGAGGCACGAACCAGCTGCGGGAAGCCTGGGAGATCACGGTGAGGGCACCTTAAGAGGATTGTTTTCAAGATTAAAAAGCACAGAAGTGGTGGCTGAATTAATTCAGAAAAAATGAATGGGAAAGTAAGATGAAGCAGCACAGGAGTTTGAGTACACAGCTGCAATAGGGGGACTGGGATCTCTGATAGCTTGAACACCACCACAAGAAAGCATTTATTAGTTACTGGGGGGTTGACAATATGAGATTACTCTAGTCCTCAGCTCTTAAAGTAAGAAGGAAATCATATTTGCAAGCTTTTGTTGCTGTTGCAACTATGCCTGCGTGTTGCCAAGTAAAATTTTAAAAAAACACTTTATTGAGAAAGCACCTGGGCAGTAACACCCCAAACCTGCCCCATGGGGGGGCTCTGGGTGCAGCAGCAGAAACACAGCGATACAACACAACCAGGTTATTTTAAAGACCTACAGGGTTTTCCATCTTTCCATTATGTAAAGTCATTGAGCACATGTGCCTAGCCAGATAGGACTCCAGGGCAGAGAAAGAGATAAAAGCAAGGTCCTTTGATTGTATTTTCTACCAGATGGACACTCAAAATATATATATTTTTTTGGAAATGACAAGTTTACAAAGGCTATAGTGCTCACACAATGCATTTGTGGAGGGCTGGCTTTCTGCCCACGAATGCTGTATGACCAGCTATGTTAAGAGCCAGGCATTTCCCACATGCCTAGTTTTTCTGGGAATTTTCTTTAGCCTGAAGAGGGTAATTTTCCTTGTACATTCTCTCAGCCCTTAGTCATGCTTTCCTTACGTTGAAGTCATTCGCATAGCCTAAAATGCCTTTTTTGATAGTTTTTTACAGTGCGTCCTCAGACAACTGAGGTAATGGATAAGCTAAATAATCCCAAATATGAAGGAGCATGACGCATGAAGGAAAAATGTGTATGCGTTTAGGGCCTATTATCACTGACAGAGTTAAGATGACTGCATCTGCTTCTAAAACAGGCGAAGCTCAGTTACAACTTTTCCCCCTCTGTGACGAAGGCCCAGTCTGAGCCCTGCTGCCGCCTGGGACCTACTCACATCCGACTGCTGTGGGACAGACAGCGACCAAACCCACCACACCTGCAACACGCCTTTGTGCCTGCAACACCCCTCAAGCAAAACCAAACGTACGCTGAACGTTCCTCTTGCTAACACAGCAATGAACACTGCACTTAAAAATGCCTGTGTCACGTTGACAGAGAAGCAGCAGCGCAGATTTTCAGGGCCTGGTTTTTGTTTCGATTAGTCCCTGCTCCTCCCAGCCCCCAACATTTAGAAGAAAAACCAAACTTAAACCCAAGTCAAATACATGCAACGCACAGGATCATTCCCTCACCAGATTTCAGCTACCTTGTCCTAAATCCTTCAAGTTTCAGTATTATTAAAAAAAAACCAATTTCCTTAAAACTATTTAAGATATTTTTTCCATCCCATCTCCTTCCTTCTTTCCAAGCACATTAAAGTTTGGCCTGTTTTACAATGATGCTTAACATTTGCCCTGGAGTACAGAGCAAATTGGAAGATTTTAATCCAAGAGATTGAAAGTTGTGAGAGAAGATTAAACTACTCAAGACTCTGCCTGCAATTATGAAAATTGTCTTTTGTGGTGCAGGGCAACTAACACTGATGAGAATAACGACTCAGGAATATGCAGTCACATCTCCCCAGGTTGGCTGGGAGTCTGGAGGACAGCGTGCTTCTGTTCTGCTTAAAGGAAGGACCACTTGTCTGGGAACAATGGCAGGCTTGTGCCCTTAAACACCGAAGGTAAAAGACAAGCACAGGCACCTGGCCAGTACATTGCCATCTGGAGGGAGGACTCAGAGACAAGGGTAAATTAGTGCTTGCTACCTGGAAAATACTGCTGATTACCAAACCTGGTGTTTTAAATCCTTGCAGAACCTGGAAGAGCTTCTTTTTTAGTGCTGCATGACTTGGGTTCCCAGCCCCATGTCAAGAGGTGACAATATCCTACTTCTGGATCCTAAGGCAGGGACTGGAGGTGACCGAGGTTTGGTGTGCGGTTCCTGGGAACCTCAACTTGTCAGCTGTCATGCAGAGCGTTACCACCTACAGCACTGCCCCAGGGTCTATCCAGTTGGCTTTCGAACCTATAGCAAGGTAGCTTCAGAGTTCCTACCACCTACAGCACTGCCCCACGGTCTATCCAGTTGGCTTCCGAACCTATAGCAAGGTAGCTTCAGAGTTCAGACAGATACTGTGCGGAAGCATTTCTTTTCCTTTATTTTTTGAACTTGCCCCTTGCCTTTAGAGCTCCCGTGGGTATCGCACTGGAAAAGACAGTTAACAATTGATGCCCAGTTGCCTTTTCCACATCATTTCTGATAGACAGATAGGCAACTATCACCCCATCTTAGATATCTCTTGTTCCACCTTTTCCACATCATTCCTGATAGATAGATAGGCATCTATCACCCCATCTTAGATATCTCTTGTTCAGGTTACAGTCATAGCTTGCTCAATTTGTCTCCTTAGGCAAGATGTTCCAGGTATCTGTCCATCCTTATTGCACTTTTCTGAATCTTTCCAGTTCTACTGTATTTTTTTTGGAACAAAGGGATCATGTATACAAAGTACACACAACAGCCAACATGCAGATGCACCACAGCTTCAATCAATGGCATAATAATGTTCTCCATTTGGTTTTCAGCTGAGCTGGCAATTTCAACAAGCCCAGGTTCTCACTTCTGTGGTCATGATCAGTCAGAGCACATTATTTCATATGTGATGTTCACATTGTCATTCTCCCTGTCCCTGCTGCACATCACTTTACACTTATCTACACTGAATTTCATTAATTGTTTTATGACTCTGTCTCTGTCTAAGTTCCCTCCTTGCTGCTTCTTATTTGGAGAAAAAAGTCAGCACCAGAGAGAGAAAGCAACAGCCT